AGGGGGGTTTTCTGTTGCTGAGGTGTTCTGCCAGGGTAGGGATCAGAAGGGGTTGACAAAAGGGGTTCTGCTACAGGTATTCTGTCAACAGCAAATGAGCAACAGAGGGCCTTTCTTTTCAACTTTCCCTTGGAATCTCATCCATCATTCCCAATTCCTCTCTCAGTTTGTTGAACCTAGCCTCAGAAAGAGGCTTTGTCAGGATATCTGCAAGTTGGTCTTCTGTTGGCACATGTTCCATGCAGATGTGCTTCTTCTCAACATGATCTCTGATGAAGTGATGTCTGATCTCAATGTGCTTCGTTCTGGAATGAAGAACTGGATTCTGAGTGATAGCAATGGCACTGGTGTTGTCACACAACAGCTTAATCTCCTTTGCTTGAATTCCATAGTCCTTCAGTTGTTGCTTCATCCAGAGTAGCTGAGCACAGCAACTCCCAGCTGCAATGTACTCTGCCTCAGTTGTACTTGTTGAGATGGAGTTCTGCTTCTTGCTAAACCAGGAAACAAGCCTTCCTCCTAGCAATTCGCAGTGACCAGAGGTGCTTTTTCTGTCTAGTCTGCAACCTGCAAAATCTGAGTCAGAATAACCAATTAGTTCAAAGTTACCTCCCTTTGGATACCATAGGCCTGCATTTGGATTTCCTTTGATGTATCTGATGATTCTCTTTGCAGCACTTAGATGGCTTTCCTTGGGCTTTGATTGGTATCTGGCACATATTCCAACAGAGAATGAGATGTCTGGTCTGCTTGCAGTTAGATACAACAGAGATCCTATGATTCCTCTATATGTTGTTGCATCTACATCCTTTCCTTCATCATCTGGACCAATTCCTTGTGAAGTGTTCATGGGAATCTTCACTGATGATTTGCCTTCCACTCCAAACTTCTTGATTAGATCATAAAGGGCCTTGCTTAAGACCATAAAGGGCCTTTTTAAGCTTGTAGACACAAGAAGATTGAGTAGGAATGACAAAACCTGGTGGTTGATCCAATCTGAGTCTGCAAGAGCTTCTTCAACTGTCATAGGTTCCATCTGAGATATATAGCAGGCAAGCATTGCTTCTCTCCTTGATGTGGATCTGGTTTGAACTCCACTTCTGATTTGACCAATCACTTGGTTAGGAGGATGATCTCTTAACCATGTTAGGTCTGGTTCTGTCAGCTGCTGTCTTGGTCTCTCTGGTTCCTCATCTTCAGAGTCTTCATCTTCATTCAACAGAAGGGGGTTTGGAGCAGGTGTTGGGAATGCAGGGTTGTCTGCCACCTCTTCTGTTGGTGTTCTGTCTTCTATGCTGACTTCCTTGAGAATCTCTGTTACCTCTTTAACAGAGATGCTTTCATCAAACTTCACATGTATGGATTCTTCAACATGTAGGGTCCTTCTGTTGAGTACTCTATAGGCTTTACTGGTGTTTGAATAGCCTATAAAGACTCCTTCATCAGCCTTTTCTTGAAATACTTTCAGATGCTCCTTTCCATTGTTGAGAATGTAGCACTTGCATCCAAATACATGAAAGTAGCTGATGTTAGGTTTTCTTCCCTTCCAGAGTTCATAAGGGGTCTTCTGGTGATTCTTGTTGATCATGCTTCTGTTCTGAGTATAGCATGCAGTGTTGATTGCTTCAGCCCAATATCTCATAGGCAATCCAGATTCTGCAATCATTGTTCTTGCAGCTTCTTTTAACGTTCTGTTCCTTCTTTCTGATGAAAAGTTCCATTCTGATCACAGAAGTCCTTTATGACTTGGTTGACAAATTCAGTTCCTCTGTCTGATCTGATTGTCTTCACTTTCAAGTTCTTCTCAGTCTGAAGTTGCTTTAACAGAGATGGCAACTTCTGAAGAGTTTCATTTTTCTTTGTCAGAAAAACAGTCCATGTGTATCTGGAGTAGTCATCAACCATGACTAGGGTGTATTTCTTGCCACCAACGCTTGGAGTCTCAACAGGTCCAAATAAATCCATGTGAATCAGATTTAGAGGACTTGTAGAGAGATCTCCAGCAATGGGTTTGAAGGAATTCTTCACTTGTTTGCCTTTCTGACATGCACTGCAGAGGGTCTCCTTCTTGTATACAATGTCTGGTAGCCCTTCTACAATGTGTTCTCTGGCCAGTTTGTTGATTGTTTTGAAATTCAAATGGTTGAGCTTTTTGTGCCAGTCCCAGCTCAGTTTTGAATCTCCTTTGGCTATCAGGCAAACTCCATCTTTTGCAGTGTTCCAATCAACTACATAGATGTTCTTCTTCCTTGATGCTGTAAGAACCACTTCCTTTGTTGTCTCATGCTTCACATAGCAGAAGTCCTTTGTGAATTCAACAGTGTAGCCTTTGTCACAGAATTGGCTAGCACTTAGCAAGTTGAACTTCAGTCCTTTGACATATGAGACATCATCAATGATTATCTGGTTCCTGATCAGCTTTCCTCTTCCTTTTATTTGACCTTCTTTGTCATTACCTCCAAAGGTAACTCTAGGTCCTTTGCATTTCTGGAACTCTGTTAGGCAACTTCTGTCACCTGTCATGTGCCTGGAGCATCAACTATCAATAAATCATTCTTGTTCAGAGATGGCTCCAGCACACAGTTCCTGTAAGATCAAAAGAAAGATTTAGGTACCCAAGCAATGCTGGGTCCTGGGGGGTCATGGAGTCTGGGTAGTTGGTACCATTTTGGTCTCATCAAGTGAAACCTTGGTGGGTGGTACCCATTGTCCACCTGGTAGTTATAGTAAACTGAAGTGTGATTCACTTTGGGCAGATGCTTGTGAGGGTCATGCTTCCTGTTTACATACTTTTGCATAGCTTTCTTTGTTGGAAAGAAGTCTCATATACTATCAAGAGCAGAGGGACGGTTAACCTTGGGCTTCTGAAGTTGACCAGTCAACCTCTTCTGCCTGAAGTTAACTCTCTCTTGATATTTGCCCTTCTGGTGATCATTTCTGGCACGATTGACATGAGGTTGTCTGTCAATAAATGGTCTTTTATTTTTGTTATCTTGAAAACCTTTTCTGTTGTTAGGTTTTCTGCCAGGTTCATTATTTTTCAAAAAGGGTTTCTGTTGAACCTTTATCTTACCCTTTTCTGGTATGACTTCCTCATGAACAACCTTGGTGCCAGATACACCAGCTTGACAGATGGGGCTAGAAATCAGTGGCTCTATGACCTTATCTGCCTTAGCAACTCTGGTGTTAGGCATTACAGAAGGCTCACCTGATTCTGTTGAGCCATAACCAAGACCAAAACCAGTGCCAATCTGTTGATCAAGCACAATCTTTTCCATGGAAGACTGGGCCTTCTGGTAAGCTTTATACTTAATCTCAAGAGGCTCTATTTCTCTTATTCTCTTGAGAAGAGAAACATTTTCAGTCTCCAGTTGATCTCTTTCCTCAATTAGAAGATTGATTTTGATCTCAACCTCCTTCTTTAAGTCAAGAATTTCAGCTTTTAACTTACTGTTTTCTTCTGTTACAGAAGAATAAGTGGCTTGTATGGCCTTAAACTCTTCCCAAAATTCTGACATTGAATCAGAATCAAAAGCTAAGCCTACCGAAGAAAAACTAGATTCAGAAGTAGAGGTTACCTCATCATCAGAATGAGCCATCAGGCAAAGGTCTTCTGTCTCAGTATCCAGGCAACAGAAGGCCTCATCAGAATCTGAGTCAGAACTGGATTCTGTTTCTGACAGAGGGTCTTTCTCCAGCTGTTCTGTCACAAGTGCCTTTCTTCTTCTGGAGTTGTCCTCGTACTTCTTCTTTTCTCCATCCTGTCCTTGCTTCTTGGACACTCTAGGATGGGGACAATCAGCCTTGAAGTGACCAGGTTGTCTGCAATTGTAACAGAGAAGCTCTCCACTGCTTTCTGTTGATTTGACCTTCTGGTATGGCTTTCTGTTGAAAGATGGACTCCTTCCATCTTTGGGATTCTTCATAAACTTTTTGAATCTCCTGGCAAAGGCAGCCATGTATTTATCAGATAAAAGTACTGAAGGGTCAAAATCATTTACCTTAGATGTGCTGGCAGTGAGGGCTGTAGTGGTCCTCTCTTCTGGTACATCTTCCTTCTCTTCAATCATTTCAAACTCATGAGCTTTGAGATCTGAAATGAGCTTATCAGTGGGATAAGTCTTTACATCCTTGCTGGCTTGGACAGCAACTACCTTCATCTTCCATGCTGAGGGCAGTCCCCTCAACACCTTCAGGTTGATCTCCTTGGTTGTGAGATCCTTCCCAAGCTCAGAGATCTCTCCAGTGAGAGTGAGGAGCCTGTCATACATCTTGGAGATGCTTTCACCAGGAAGAAGTTTGAAGTCATCAAACTTCTTGTTGGCTATGGTTAGTTTGTTGTCCTTCTCTTGCTCATCACCAGCTCCAATGAGCTCAAGAGTATCCCAGATTTCCTTAGCAGTCTTGCACTTCTTGATTCTATTGAAGTACCTATCATCAATGGACTTGTAGAGGATGTCCTTGGCTATATTGTCTAGGTTGTACTTTCTCCTCTCTTCAGTGGTCCATTTTGACTTGGCCTTACTGATCATCTGGGGTCTGGTGTTGTCTATGGCATGTTCAGGATTGACCTTCTGGAAACTTGTGAAGGGGCCAATGTCTAGAACTTCCCACATCTCATCATGCAGGGCACAGAGATGTGCTTTCATCCGGATCCTCCAGTCATCAAACTTAAGATCTGAAAACATAAGATTCTTGGACAAGGAGTGATCCATTATATCAGATAGAAATGAGGTAAAACAGAAAAACAAGTGGATCTTTGTTCAACAAATAACCTAAGAGATTATTAGAACAAGGAGGCTCTGATACCACTTGTTGATCCCGGTTATACTGGATACAGTCTAGAGGGGGGGTGAATAGACAGTATTGGTTTTTAGCTTTTTAAACTAAGTACCAGATTTACAGAATAGCCTGTTCTGTTGAAGGAACAGACTGGCAGCGGATGGGGTTCTGGCAGGGAGTTCTGTTAGCCTCAGAGAAGCAGAGGCAGTAGGCCTTCTGTTAACTCGTAGAACAAGTTCTACTGAACACAGATACCAAGTCCAAGGAGTTAAACAGTTCTATCTAAGTGCAAGTAATAGAAGCAGTAAGTAAACGACACCAGGGATTTTTATAGTGGTTCAAGGAACAACTCGTTCCTCTAATCCACTGTTCCACTAAGCTGTAAAAACTGCCGTTTACAAAGCCTTAGTCCTAGTACTTAAGAAGCACTCCACGTCTTCTTCAAGCCTAGATGTGTCCTGGGATGCACTGCCTGGCTTCCTTTAACACTGGTCCTTTCACTGAGTTTCCTTGAAGTATCACCACTTCACTACTCCAGTTATTCGGACGTCCTTCTTGTAGCAAGAAGAGTTTCTGTTGAAACAGGGGTTCCTCCAACTAGCTTCGTTACAAAAGATTTGTATGTGATGATCTTGAAGAGTTGAAGAAGTCTTGGAACTTTGCTTGAGTTGGAAAGAGTATTTTTCCAACTTCTGCCTTCTCTTGTAGAGGATAATGAGTTTGAATCTCAAGGAGGCTTTTTGCTTTTCACAGTTTGAATATCTTGCTTGTGGTTAGCAAAAGTTGCAATGTTATCTTGGCAAAGTTATATCAAAGTTGTAGCAAAGTTATCCGGTTGTTCTTCGTAGTGTATCTTTTATACTGAGGTTGTCTTCCCGTTGGAGGAGTAGGAGGACAACTGCATTTAATGCGCGAGCAGTTGACTTGACCAGTAGGACCCGGTAAAGTTGGCGGGTTACTATTTTGGGATAAAGTAATCCTGACATTGCGGCCAATCATCTGCAATTACTCCACGGAGCATGGGGAGCATTAAATGAGCATTTAATGCGAGCACTGTAGCTTTTCCGTTTCATACTCCTAGCCGTTGAAGGAATCTTTAAGTTGACTTCCCGGTTTTGTGGATTTCTTCCAAGTGTCAGACCTTCTGGTGTCATTGGCAGAGAACTGATTCAGAGAAGATCTTGAGCACTTCTGTTGTTGGTAGCTTACAGAGAACAAGGAGGGTTTCTGTCAAGCTAAAGGGTAACAGAGACCCTGATGTTTTCTCTTCCTAGACAGAGAACCAAGATCTTCTGTCTGGAGGACTTCTGGTAGAGAGGCCTTCTGATAGTCGAATATGCTAAGAACTTTACAAGGGAAAATTCTAATACATAATTTCTAAAGGGGTACTCTACAGTCCTAATTAATATAGCATCATCAAAATCTAAATACAATTATTCCTTACATTTTCCCTTTATCACCACTCTCCCCATCACCACGTTTTGCTAATTCTTTACAAATAAATGGGTGGTGCCCATATTCTTTGCAATGAAAGAAAAAACTAGGAAAAGTTTCATATAGCACATATTGTTTGAATACCTTACGGGAAGGTAGTCGTATAGGAAATGATAGCGGTGGCGGCTTCGAAATGTCAACTTCTATTAAAACTCTAGCATAGTCATTATTTGTCCTTTCTTGAGTAACCTTATCCGTTGTTATAGGTACCCCAACCATAGATTCCACCTCACTCATAGCCACATCATTCCATAGTTTCATTGGTAGTTTCTGGAACTTCACCCAAATTGGTACCTTAAGAAATTCCGCATCTTCAAATGTGAAATCTTCCGAAAGTTCCTTTAGCATGAGAAGTCTTCCAAAAACCGTATAAGGTCCCTCATGTAGCACCTTTGCTCTATCTTCTTCATTTTGGAACTTAATGATAACCCAACCCTTTTCATGGGATGTCACACGGCACTTCACACCCCATATTGCCTTCAATTCATGTACCGCTTTAAGTCCGGGAAATGCCCCTGTGAAGTGTCCAACAAGACAAAAACCCCACATTTCAATCATAGAAGGTAAAGCCCGATCAACAGAATCCAATGTTTCACCTTTAGGTGGAACATATTTCAGTTTAATGCCTCGTGTTGGGTCACGGTTGTCTTTGAATAAAGATTTCCATGGTTTAGGGCTATCTTCCAAAGTACTGTCATTAATTTTTCCAACATCAGACTTCCCAGATTTCTGGCCAGGCAGATCAATAGGCGTGATTTTCCCAGTCTCATTGGTTACTGGGTTCAAATCCATTTCACCTGCTGGAGCAGAGAGGACTGCTCTCACTGGAATAGCAGGGGCTTGCGCTTTCCCACCAGGCAAAGGTGCCTTAGGGGTAACAGTCCCAGGAGGACCTGCCAAATTTGCAGCAGTTTAATGCCCAGGTTTCATAGCAGCAGTAGTAGCCGGTTGTCCTGCTTTCTTGGGAGTAACAGTACTTGAAGCACTTGTTTTCAGCATTACACTACCTGCTGGCAGATTCCCAGCAGTTTCTACAGCTAGAGTTTTGTCAACCTTCAAAGTATTTCCCACATCTTGAACTGCCAGAATCCCAGGAAGCTCTGTTGGAATTCCAATTTCTTCAGCTTGTAGCACAGGAACATCAATAGTAGCAGGTTGTTCAATCCCAGGCCTATTGACAGCAGAAATAAGCTCTGGAAATTCCTCATCTGTTCCTTGAAAAAGCACAAACCTTTGGGAACATCAATAGTAGCAGGTTGTTCAATCGCAGCCCCACCCTGTTTTTTCCTCGCCATGGTCAGAAGATGTGGCTTAAAGAATAGCGCAGCTTTATGTTGAGGAAACCCCAGCCGTAGAGTCAGCTCCCCCCAACTTCCACACAAAGGTTACAACGCTACACCACCAGACGGCGAGCCCAAACAACACTCCAATTACAGAAAAACAACAAACAGATACAAATCACACAAAGCCCTGTACCAGTTCGTTACTGAATTTTCTGTTCAAAAATCATCATTCCAAGAACATATCCAAGGTCGGAAATGCAGTCAGATGTGGATTTCGACTCAGAATTATCCAAAAGACATGAAAGAAAAACTCAAATCGAACTAAAATCCGTCGTAGCGTGAACAGTAATTAGACGCACTGCAATAGTTCAAATCTGGGTTTTCTGGCCGTCAATCATCATTGTAATTCCAAATCCAAGCATAGAATTGGAACTAGAGGAGAAATCCGACCTAGAAACACCAAGAAATTCAATCATAAGTGAAGAATCGAACCAACCGTAAGTTCCATAGCGCAAAAGAGCTGGGCGATAGATTTTCCCAGGAGAGAGAAGCTAATATACACTTTATTTACGCTAAAAGTGCTCTATTTTCGCTGAAAACGCTAAATCATAGAGATAAGGCTAAGTATTTGTGACACTCATACTTTGTTATGTGTTTATCCGTTTGGAGTGTAATATACCTCGTTGTAAAGATAGATCGGAGCTGTAAAGCAATTGTTCCAACTTCATTTACAATGCATTAATTAAAATTTACAGATTAACCATATATTCACAAATGTTTCTGATTTCACTCTGAACTCGTGTAGAATTTGATGCGATCATATCTTGCTCTATTTTGTGCCGTTGAAAGCGTTTAGTATCTCGTTGGAAAGATCTTACCGAGTTCTAAAACTTGTCATCAGGCGCTAGTTTCAAAATATCAAGGGATAATTGCCTAATTACTAAAATACACTGTATTTACGCTAAAAGTGCTCGATTTTCGCTGAAAACGCTAAATCATAGAGATAAGGCTAAGTATTTGTCACAATCATATCTTGCTGTGTGTTTATCCGTTTGGAGCGTATTATATCTCGTTGGAAAGATAGATCGGAGATCTAAAGCTATTTTTCCAACATCATTTACAATGCATTAATTAAAAGTTACAGATTAACCATATATTCCCAAATATTTCGGATTTCACTCCGAACTCGTGTAGAATGTGATGCGATCATATCATGCTCTGTTTTGTGCCGTTGAATGCGTTTAATATCTCGTTGGAAAGATCTTACCGAGTTATAAAACTTGTCTTCAGGATCTGGTTTCAGAATATCAAGGGATGATTGCCTAATTACTAAAATACACTGTTATTACGCTAAAAGTGCTCTATTTTAGCTGAAAACGCTAAATCATAGAGATAAGGCTAAGTATTTGTGACTCTCATATCCGTTTGGGGCGTATTATATCTCGTTGGAAAGATGGATCGGAGCTCTAAAGCTATTGTTCCAACTTCATTTACAATGCATTAATTGAAAGTTACACATTAACCATATATTCACAAAAGTTTCGTGCGAAATATAGTCCGAAATACTTAGCCTTATCTCTATGATTTAGCGTTTTCTGCGAAAATAGAGCACTTTTAGCATAAATACTTAGCCTTATTATTATTATTATTGTTATTATTATCATTGTTAGTGTTGGAGATATTTAATTGTGAATCAAGTTTGTCATAGATTAGCTTTATTATTATTCCTTGTATTAAATTAGTGCATGAATTAGATAGAATGTGGGCCAAGTGTTAGGCCCATATAACCAGGCTAAAAGCCTTTCACGCCTAACCTAAACCTCGCCTATAAAAAGGGAGCCGAGGGTTTAGGATTAGGTTAACGTCGTACTTATTCACTATAACCTTACGCGCATATCTTTCTGTGTACGAGTTCACGGTCTATCAAAAAGGGTTTTACATTGATTCAATCTGTGTTCATCTTTACGTTTAATCTTCTTTGTTAGATTGTTATTCATTGCTGTTACAGGAACAGGGACTATCATTTGGTATCAGAGCCGATCGAGAGCCGATCAGAAGAACGCCTGCAGAAGACTCTGTTTTTCTTTACGTTGTTCTTACTGTCGATATTTCACTCTGTAATCTTGTTTCTTGTTCAAAAGTTGTAAAAGTTACACCCTTAGAATCGTTGTTTCAAAGCGATCAAGGGGTATACTTCAGATTTCGTTTTACGCATATTCTGTACTTGAGATATTTCGAGTAGCCCTTGTCGACATCTAGGTTTTTAACAGGTTCTGCTACGTTTTTCGAGCTGAAAACTTTACCTGAGGATCTCGACATTCTACTCTACAGGAAACTACCTTCAGATTTTGCTTATCTGATTTTTACAGTTTGCAGGATTTCGACATTGAGGATTTCGACATCTAGGATTTCGAGATCAAGATTTCGAATATAAGGTCTCGACATCTGGTCTCGACATTTGATTTCTCAAATTAAGATTTCGAGTTTTAACTTCTCGACATTTCAAATCTCGAGATCCTCTTCTCGAAATTTGAAATCTCGATATCCTTAATCTCGAGATCCTAATCTCGAGCTCAAATCTCGATATCGGGCCTCCTTTATCGAAATCCGAGATCTCGATATTCAGATCTCGACATCTGATTTTTTGACATTGTGCCTCTGAAAATCTTTTGATCAATTATCTCGAACGGTCAGTTTAAAACAGCAATGGCCTCAGAATTCAATGCACAAGGGAACAGCAGTACCCCTCCTAGTCTCAGGAAGGGAGAATACCAAATGTGGAGGAATCGATTCCTTAATTTCCTTGAGCACAAAGAGAACTCCGCTGCGATGCTTGAATCCTTGCTTGAAGGACCAGCTGAACTCTTGATTTCAGTTGGTGGTGATCCAGAAAACAACCCTCCTATTCTTCCAGAAATAAGGAGGAAAGTGGCATCTGAATACACGGAAGCTTACAAGCTCAGGCTTCGTGGTGATCTCATGGCCAAAACATACCTGCTTCAAGCAATCCCCAATGAAGTATACGTTCTCATCGATAGCATGCAAACACCTAAGGAAATGTGGGATGAGATAGAGAAACTGCTCCAAGGCACAAGCATTAGCCTTAAGACAAAGAAGACTACAATTCTCATAGCTTATGACTCCTTCAAAGCAGGCCCGGGAGAACCTTTGAACGAGACCTACAACAGACTCGTTCAATTGGTCAATGAACTCAGAAAAATCAAAGTATTCAGGTACAACTTTGAACTGAATATTAGATTTCTATCCAGCCTGCATCCTGCATGGGAAAAGATAGTGAAGGATGTTAGATCACGGATCGACTTGGATGAAATTGACCTCTGCACTCTCTATGAACATCTTAAGCAATTTGTCAGTGGGGTTGCCTGTGCCGAGGATCATCACACCACAAATCCCCTAGCTCTTGTGATGGAAGCTCAGCCCAGAAGGACAACCACACCACTGATGAAGAAAAAGAAGAAGGTGGTGGTTGAATCAGACGATGATGAAAGTGATGATGACAAATCTGATCTGGAGGCTGAGCTTGCAGACTTACAGAAGAAGATGGCACTGCTTGCCAAGAGATTTGCTAAGAAGAACAGCTCCTCCAACAAGCTGAGAACCTCCTCCTCAAACTACAAACAGAAGAACCATGATCAAGGATCTTCTAGGAAGGCACCATCAGCCGAAGATGCTCCCAAATGCTACAATTGTGGTAAGGCTGGACATGTCATCAAAGACTGCCGCCTCCCAAAGAAGAAGGATGCTAACTTCTACAAGCAGAAGATGCTCTGGAATAAGCCGAAAATGCTGATGGTACAGAAAGAAGAAGAAACTTCTGCAATGATTGCTGAAAAAGATAACTGGGCAGAAGATTCTTCTGAGGAGGAGGAGGAGGAAGATAACTATGCCCTGATGGCACGAGTGGAGGAAGAAGAAGAAAGAAAGGGTGATGCTGCGATCCCCGAAAATGAATGTTCTACAAGCTCTGTAAGTACCTCTCATTCTCCTTTAAATAACCAAATGCAGTCCTTACTTGAGAAGGACAATCTAATTAAAGAACTAAAGGAGAGACTAGACAATAATCACAGGGTACTGAAACAGAATCTAGACCAAAAGTCTTCTTTAAGTGTTCAACTTGAAATTGCAAAAGATCAGGTCAAAAAGGTGTCCTCAGATTTTGAAAGCTTTGAACTTAAGATAGCTGAATTAACTAGGAAATTTGAGGATAGTGAACGAGAAAAAAGCACAGCAAAGGCTGAATGCGATTTTTTGCATAATAAGAGAAGAACACTTTTAAACAAAGTAAAAGAACTAGAGGATCTAGCTGCTAGAAGAGGTCAGTCTGAAAAGACAATTTTTCTTAATCGAATAAAGGATGACCGATTCTACAATCCTAGAATAGGATTGGGCATAAAAAACCCATGTAATCTAAAGAAAGTTAACTGTCTTCACATCTATAACAAAGATTACATGGGACTAGGTTTTGGTGAAAAAATGTATTTTCGAAGTGATGAAGAAAACGCTGAAGCAGAAGAAGAAAAAAGAAAGAATCCAAAATCTGCGATTTCTTGTGATTATCCCTCTGTTAATGAAAAACAACTTTCACAAGAAAAATCTACTTCCTGCTTTAGTGAATGCCTTGACCCTTATGCAAAAGATATTCCACACATAGGACATCCTCTAGATCCACCCCCAAGAGTAGGTATCGCTAAAACTGGAGAGGAACCTTGTATTTTTCCCATGGCTCAAAAACTCAAAAACGTACAGAAAACTCTTGATAATGAGAGAGAGAGATTTGAAACTGAAAAGAAAGGTTTTGAGCGCAACTGGCAGGAACTTCTTCAAAAGTTCAATGATTTGAGTGAGCAGTATCATGCTAAATCAGACCCTTCTACGACTAAGACTGACAGCTCACACACCTCACCTGAGAAAAACAATGTTTTAAAAGGTTCGTCCACTCATCTCTCTTCTCCTTAGTTTACAGGAAATGAAGTGAAGAAGGAAGGAGAAGAGAAGAATGAGTGGAGGAAAAAGAGAAAGGAAATCGCAGAAGGAAAGAAGAAAGTTTTTGAGAATAGTGTCAGTCCTAGATCTAGTTCTATTTTTTACTCTAAAGTTAATTGTAATTCTGTCTCTACAAAACAAACTTCTAGTAGTTCAGTCTTGAGTCCTAAGCTGAATATTTCTGAGACTTCTTCTAGACATCGTTCTATTCATAATACAAGTATTGCTTATGGTTATTATGTTCCAGACCCCCATAATTATGAATGTGATGTGAATGTTGTTAAAACAAAGCCTCACAGAAAGCTCAAACCAGAAAGAGAAACTAAGAAAAGAACTTCTAAGGGAACATTTTGTATTCCTGATATGAAATATGCTCTTCGAGTTCATTCAAGGAAACATCTTAATCGGCTTTCTAAAGAGGAGATTTTCAAAACCAAACTTAAGAAACAACCATTCAATCACAAAGCGAATGTCTACTCTCCTCCCAAAATTGAAACGAAAAGGTGGGTCCCCAAGATCAGACCCACCAAAACTGAAACGAAAAGGTGGGT